ACATTCCAATACTGATTGCATGCTACTTAGTTGACTCCTAGAACCTAATATATACGCACAAAATATGAGATCTAACTATCAATGTTTAGAAAAGAAATCGAAAAACATGAAATGTACGTAGGGCACTACAAAAGTTTTTTCATACAGCTCTTCTAGAAATGGTAATTTGAGGACATCTAGCCTATCATAAGAGATAAACATATTTAGGATTGTGTGAAAAATTCCAGTCTTCCACGTATAACCCATCGTTCTATTTTTTCATTTTTTTCGTGTCACCCCCACATAATTTTCAACATGAGTTTTGAACTCTCCCGTGAACAATTTCTCACAATGATTTTGTATGGCTGGAAAATTGGTTTAACATACAAGGATAGTCCTGCCCGTTTGGTGCAGGCATGGGGGGAGCAAGCACCTTCTGACCATACAGTCTTCAACTGGTTTAGTGAATTTCAACGCAATAAATTCAGTGTTCAAGATGCTCCTCGCTCAGGTCGTCCTTCAACATCTGTTACTCAACAAACCATTGATGCTGTACGGACAATAATTGAAGGTGATCCTCATTCAACATATCAACAAATTGAGACCATATTGGGCATCAGTTCCACAGCAATCAATTCGATTATTCATGATTATTTAAATCTAAGAAAAGTTTGTGCTCGGTGGGTGCCACATACACTAACCGACGACCAAAAACAACACCGTGTTCATTTTTGCGGTCATTCACTAAAGAGATTTGAAGAAGGTCGATCCCGTCGTGTATTTGACATTATAACAGGTGATGAAGCTTGGTTCTATCATTATGATCCCGAACTAAAAGAACAATCAAAAGTTTAGATGTCGACAACTGATCCACATCCAACCAAAGTCCATCGAAACAAAAGTGCCGGGAAAAGAATGGTGGCAATTTTTTTCATGAAATCTGGTTTAATTAAATCTGTTCCATTAGAAACAGATGCTACGGTGAACGCAAACTGGTATGTCAACACATGCTTACCACAAGTCTTCACAGCGGTATCTGAACGAAGAGAAACGCGAGGTCTTCGAGGTCTTATTTTTCATGACGATAATGCAAGGCCGCATCGAGCATGGATTACCAAT